GTTGTGCAGATGCAATGCACGCGACCATTAATAGACTAACGGATATCACAGCCGCAACATAGGTGGCGTGAGTCGGTGAAAGCCAGTTGGCCGAGCCCTTTGTATCCGTGCAGAGATTTCGTCGGCCACTGAACCACCAGGGTTGATCCTACTACCCAGGTAAATGAAGTGGTCAACACACTCAATCACTACACTCTCTACTGTTAGACGCGTTGTGCATCGTTAAAGACCAATCCTGGAGCAACAATTTGCATTTGTATGGTGAGAAACGCATCCCAAACATTCTCAAATTGCGACTCAAAATTTTCAAAAGAGTTTGCATCTTGTCAGCGTCTTCACCTAACAGGACTAAGTCATCTGTATATTATAGGTCTAATGAAAATTTTCCTGCAATTAGGTCAACGTCTGTGTCGTTGTCAAAGGCTTCAGAGCTAGGAGAAATTGAAGATGATGTAGTATCGTTAATTGAGAGACGGGAATGAAGATTAGAAGGTAATGATGGGGGAGGTGGATGGCAATCTGAGAAAACTTGAGTGCTGATAGAGTTGTGAGGGCGTTCACACTTCCCGGGTGCCCACAGTGTAGAAGACTATTTCTTCTTAAGTTACCTGAAAGAGATTCGTCGCCGTAGAGCACATCGCACATCTGCTTGAGGCCTGTCACACGCAGCTTTTTGTGTATGGTTATTTTGAACTTTTTTATTTTTGGGGCCGGATGGTCGAAAAGAAACGATAAATGAACCAACACCGCCGGCCTGGCATATCGTGGGGTATGGTGGAGTGTGTTATTTTTGGGGCCGACCTTTTCTAACCCCCACTTCCACTGAGAAGGTAGCATCGGCATGGCACTGCTGGTTATCCAAGGGAAACACCCTACTGCTGTCACACCCTATCCAGCTAGCAGCAGTACGACTTCGCCCTCAGACCCCCTTCATAGTGTAGTAATTTACACTGCAACGGTAACTGCTTCTCGTTTAGCCGCTACCCAAAAAACCTTTCTGGTACGGTAGAACCTCGAAGGAACAAGTGTTCCACCAACATAGCTCGTTGGGTCATTGTGGTATGCAAGCCTGACCACGTCAAGGTAGCAGCTATCGGTCGAGATGAATGAGAATGAGATAGATATACGAAGGACATTTGTGATAGAATGGTGATCGCTCTCTTTTTTTTGGGTATGGGCACAATAAGTTTGTTCGGAACAAGTTAACATGTAGTAAGAGATAGGTTGAGGTCATCTCAGCAGCCGGTAATATTGTTTTCGGAAGTATGCATATCACTAGCATTTCAAACATGAAGATTAATCAATATAGTTTTGGTAGTGCTTGGTGAGTATCCCCTACTGGATAATTTTACATCAATGAGTTCATCCTGTAAACCAACACTTGTAATTGCTCAGCATCAACACTAATCGAGTAGTGGTCGGTGGACATACTTACTTCAAAAATGTCATATTTCAGATTACTTTGCGCAGGCAGATGAATATCTGAATGTCAGCCTAAGTAACTTCGATTAAGGACATAGAGCTCAGATCTCCACTGTACTAAAATTGATATCATCATCCACACTAAAAGGACACAATTCTTTACAATTGCATTTTCTGAAGTAGTTAATCGACATAATTACACTTACACATATTGCGAACAGCATGGCAGATCACTGATCAGTATGTTATCAGCTGAACAGATTATCTTACTAACATCAAAGTGCTTGCTACTAGTAACTGAGAAAGATTGTTCCAATCCCTGGAGCATAGGATTCCACAGCTCCTATATATGATCCTGTGGAAATTGTTCGTGTTAAAGACTTGCCTAATCCCTTGAAAATGAAAAAGGTGGCATGATATAACAGTAGGCATGTTGCAACCTCTCCCCTTATGGATTTTGGTTCTTTAACTAATCTCATATTTACACGTATGATCATCTTCAAAGCAATCTGTGCTACAAATATCCTCTATTCAACGCCAAAGGTGGCGGTTGCGATTTCTTCTCTTTCTGATGGATACGCGGCCATAGAAGTTAGTTAGTTAATAAAAGTGGATTTTCTTTAGAGTGGTCATCTGGGTGTTCTGCTGCTGAGTCTCATAAAAAAAGTATCAAGAAAAGTAGTCACTGGTTCTGACTCCATCTCCACACAGAGGGAAATGCAATGATTTCCTCTTATCTGTATGAACACATTGGACATGTTGATTCTGACATCTGTTTTCTTCGCTTCACCTTCAGATTTATCAAAATTATTCTTAATACAAAGAATCAGCAGTAAGTGGTTCACATACTCCTGACGTCTCACTAAAATAATGCCCTCATCTTAGTCAGGACGACTTAGGATCGCGTCATTCAATATACTTGCTAAATATCTTGGACTTTTTCGTTTAATCCGCCAGTAAATGATTAAAACCGAACTGTGAATCATTAAATTGGTGACAGTAATCACAAAATGTTGAAATTCATATGGTCAGATAAGAATTTGATCAAAAGTTTGAACAGTTAAGCTTTTAAATCCCACTTGAGTAATACAGTCTGTTAAACTGCTGCATGTGTAAGAGAGTATATCACAACATGAATATATGTAGCTCAGGTGGATGGTCGTGGTTGTATTGTGATCTCTGAGCTGGGTTGTCTAATCGTGGAGTTTTCATCGTCTTGCTAAAAGACATCATCAAGTGGTCTGTCAATATTTCTCCATGAGTAATTTAGTAGCTTGACCTGACGAATTGGTTTGTGATTGGTTGTTTCCTTTGATTGTTATGTCATTGACTATATATATTTTCTCGTTGGCTGTTCCTCTAGTTGACCTCTTACCATTCTATCGTTTATCATTTTTCTCATTGGTTGATAAATTAGGTCTATGTCTATACATCTAGGAATTCCTAGACCATAAAAGCTCCACGATTAAATAACTCAGCTCAGAACACAATACAACCGAGAGTTTCTGGTGATACTATATTTTAATGTTACCAGTAACTACATCTTTAAGCAAAATATGCACTCATTATATGTGACGTAGTTCATTGAGTGTCTCCAAAGGTCACCTTGATGACTACAGAAGTGACCAATTAGAGTTCTGTATTTTATGAAAAGATTACCTTCCCAGTCGAAATCGAGGAATGACCCTTGAAGTCACTTCAAATCATCGTTTCATCTAAATCACGTAATGTTTTGTTTAGTTATCATCATTTCTAACTATTCTTTCCACCCTTTTTGCACGTTTGTGTACAATCTATGGACTCTAAGGTTCTTATTTTAACCTAGTATTTTATCATCCAGCATATTTAAGTAGTAATGCTGTTTTATAGTTATTATAATCATCATTTTCGTTATTTGTATCATACGTCGTTGAATTGTTTCTCATGAATTAAAAACGACTTCGTTGTGTAGGAGTTTTCTTCGCTGAATTTCTTTTCCTTTTGTTGTCTTACGTCAATTCGAAGTGTAATTACAACTGTACGTTGTACCATTTTACTGAGGTTGGTAATTTCTTTTCGACCAGTTAATCGAAAATATAATTGGACATACAAAAATGTAGTACAGGGCATGATTACGACAGATAGTACACTCGTAGCAACATTGCATAGTGTTATGCTTGTATTGTGATCTCTTTCAGTCAGAAATTTTGTAGCAGTGAAATCATACCAGATAGGAAGCTGTTCATTAACATAATAAAACTTATTACTTGCTGGGAAGTAGTCTTCTCTTCGCATAAAGTTGTGGTGAATCATCTCTATTTCACCTTCCCAGAAGATACGAATACTCACTGGCTATCCAAACAACCTTTCTGTGTTTGATAATAAGAATGGATAGTGGCTAACAGTAGAATCCAGGACGCGCGCTCCTTCGTTTTTGGGACTCGTCAACTGAGTGTACCTGCCTCTCGTTGAGCGATATTGTCCTTACTAAAATTCAAACCCAGGATCAGGCGCTTCAAATGCCAGAGCGTTATTCATTATTCACGATATAGTAACCAATCACTTCAGTCCAATCAACAATTGAAAATTACAAGCTGTAATTATTCAAGCTTTTCCCCGTGCATAAACATATGAGGTTGATATTCACATCTTCATCTTGTAGCACGATCTTTATGGAGGTCAGTTCTTTGTAAAAGTTATTCACTTTTTATGGTTGAGGTCACTCTTCAGTTAAGATCTATGTGGAGATGTTCAACGATCATGAAAAAGCATAGTCTGTCTTGCTATCCCCTGCTTACTTTACTGGACCTTGTAGCGTAATAGTATACATATAAATAGCTGTTAAGTATTAAGGCTTCGACTTTGGTCTTTAGTTCGACACCGCAACTTATATTTAGCCTACATTTTGGGTTTTAAGGTTGTGAGATTATAGATAACATTTCACTTACGATACCCTGGATAATAAAACATATATTGATTGGCAAAATTTTGGGTGTTCTAGACAAGCCTATCATTCTTGTATCAAAGTGCACAAACGTTGAACGTTTTCAACCTGAACATGTGCAATTACTGAATACCTTATGCTAAGTAGCAACTCTAAGTGGCTCTTACATCCAGGACACACGTTCCTTCGTATTTGGGACTCATAAGCCGAACGTACCTACCTTCCAGTAAGTGATGTTATCCCCACCAAGACTCGAACCCAACGCTGGTGGTAATAACATACATGAATGTTTATTCAATAAAGTCCTTTATTTACAAGTGTAATGTTTTTTTTATCATCTTAGCTCTTTGCATATAACTGTAGGTTGTATGGACGCTGTGTTACTGCTAGTGCACTTGAAAAAAAGTAGACGTTTGTTTATTTTCAGGAGCGAGCACTCCTAAACGTGTCACTTGAAATATAAGTTATATGGCAACAATTGAGTAGTGTTTAAGCTGTTACCCCTGTCCATTTTTATCGACGTGATAATTCTGTCACCTAAAGAATTTTCATATACTTATTTGTCACATAACACCTTAATACCAATCGCTTGTTATTAATCAGCGCGCATTTCTGATGTTAGAATATCTTATAATATCTGTGTAATTTACTCAAGATTGAAAGGTTCTGCCATGTACCGATACTCTAAAAGGGTATATCGAATGGATTATGAAAATATTATCCAATTTGCACTTACTGACTACGCAACTCATACAAGAAATCCGATTCCACGTCCTCATATGATATTGTAAGTGTATTATATAATAATTTTGTTCATTCTATCAAGTTATTGTATATAACGTTTTCTCTTATTGTTCAGAATTCTCCATAAACTAGTGTGTTCAAGCATATTCTACTAGAATGAAACATTTTTTCTCTCATATTTTCGTGACAAAATTGCAAATCGAGTATTAAGTTTTATTCTACGGTAAAGACGTTTTAATGAACAGTACTTTATCCACCTCACATGATTATATACAATTTGATGCACTATCGAAATGTAATGCTAAAAACAACATAAGTAGTTTGGAACCAGTAAAGGTGATCTGTAGATTTTGCTAGCCAAACCAGAGTGGTCCAAACACTGGACGGCCGTTTCTTCCCTTTGTGGCCTAACTCATCAGCAGTGTACCCGAACAGATTCAACTCATAGAGCCGAATCCCTGAAAACAATCTGAGTTGGATGGACCGGTATACCTTAAATAAGATGATCAATTTTGAAATAATTTAGAAATTGCACGATCCACGCTGACATTTCCTACAGCTTCACAGCTGTCAAAAAGGTTTCGTCTAGAAACCACTTGGCCGAGATCATAGGGTGTTACCTCTGACACAGAAGTGTTATGAACTATCGAAATATACTACTGCTGGAAAACATGATTAGTGTGGAACCACTGAGGCTGATCTTCTGATCTGGTTAACCTGTTCAAAGTAATCTGAACACCGGACAGTCGGCTGGGTTGTTTTGGACCAGGCTCATCAGCAGTGTATGCGAAAAAGTTCGACTTACATCACCTGATTGGTTAATCACCCGCAAGTTGGTCATTCAATTTTAGTTAGTGTTTGAGTGTATATAGACCCCGGGTAAGGGTAGTAGTGTGTTACCGAAACACATCACTTCCCTTAAATTATCCCGACAAATTTATTACTGAATATAACTGTAGTGCTAATAACAGGTAGTTCGTTTTCAGATTAGATGGAAAGTTTAAACATCAGCGCTGTGTCAGTAAACCAAACAACTTCATTTCTGAAGTAGAATGTATAAACATCCATCCATCTTTACTATATATAATTAAAACATATACAATATCGAGGCATCTGCGCACGAGGCCCATACGCCAATAGAGACCGATCAATTCGGTCCAACCAACGATGGCATAATACGAGCAATAACACTATTTCTTAAGTGTTTTTGTGTTGTTACATATACTATGAATTTTATTAGCGGAAAATAAAAGTTGTTGAGGTGGTGCGTATGTAGTAATAAGTTTGTTTATAATTGAAATGGCTAGTTCATATTTAATTTATTGGTCAAACTGTGGAGATTGTTAACTTATAATTTTGTAATTATTTATTTTATTACAAACGAGTCAAGTGCAAGTTTGATACATCACAAAAGGTGTTGTTTTGTCTAATCAATTAGATCACATCTCTCAGCTATACGATTGTATTTCAAGTTTGACCCATCGAATTCAATCAACACTAACGACTAGACAGTTTGATATTGTTATGATACGGGGTCGTGAGAACGAACAACCATACTTAACGGTTCATAATCGAGGGTTAAGACTAGAAATCACCTGAGTTTATAGCATCCGAATAGCTGTGAAACATGGCCATTGAAGGTGGAAGACATGAGAAGGCTTCAGGTGTTTGAACACCGTTGCCTTCATAGTATAGTCTGTATTCCGTGGTGTCACCAGGTGAGTAATACAGAAGTCAGGTATAGAGTTTTAGGGAGTAGAGGTAAATTTGTTGACGAGGTTGTGAACCTTCATCGGCTGAGATGGTAAGGACATGTGTTACGTATACCTCGTTACATAATGTTGGCCGAAATAGGTTCAGGCTGGAAAAAGGCTCGAGGTGGTCAATCTAAGACATGGCATCAACCTATGAAGTGTTTGACTGTTGGTTTGAGCCATGTGGGGCGATGTAGACTAGTCGGTTGGGGACCGCGAGACAAGAGGAGCCAGTGGTTGGAGACTCTAGGTGATTACATGGCTCAGAACCGATGTTAGTGGCACAGATGTATACGCACATTATCCTCATCTTAACGCTAAACCGAATCTCACCATTTTGTCATCCTTTCTTTCTTTCTTTTCGTACTTTGTATTTCTTTTGACTGAGTTTTCTGATCTTAATCTTGCGCCTCACCACCTTTTTACTTGATGTAGTGACATGAGCTGTGGCAACTCGGACCGTTACGCGGTAATGCCTGGTCCTATGTTGATATTGATGATGGATAGAAAGTTATCTCGGACTGAGAAACGTTTATTAGTTAAAATGGGCCCTATTTATAGAGTTTACGGTAACTTTGAAGAGCAAGGAATAATTAGTACATTCAAGGAGACGAGAGCCAATCAGAACGCTAACGGGTCATACGAAAAATGACTCATATGCGAGAATAAGAGCGCGAAGTAAAACAGTTGAAATACACACAAACTGGGAACTATGGTGCCTAAGAGATATAGGCATCCCTAACAGCCGTTGGTTATTCTGCGATAATTAGTTAATATATCTGTCCCAGCTATCCAAAAGGTTAGTCAGCAACTGAACAGCTAAATGATATTGTCTCTGAGGGACGCTGGTTCGGATCCTCCTCTCCGACTATTCCCAAGCCTGAGTAAGTAATAAATCCTTGTTGATTGCCCACAACTACTACCTGACATCATTAACACTGTCGAAAAGTAAAACGAACGAATGGATAGACAAAAAACAGTAACAAGAGGAGAAAAAAGAAACAGCGATCACGTAAAATATATCTCCCAACAGATTTCATTGTTCTTGTACCCTAACTTGTAGGACATCCGTTCAGAGATGTCTATACTAAGTCATATGTGATAGCATCTTAAGCTACTGAGGGGGATGACATCTAGGCCACTATCCTTGGAATCAGTAGGAACTACTGTCATTCGAAACGGTACAGACAAACTAAGAATTCAAGCAACGAGAAGCATTTCAGTGCAGCAAATACACGGCGTACAGTGGAAAAAGTCATACTTAATCCAATAATGAGTTGATTAAAATGTTTGTAATGATACAGCTAAGACCAGGATAAAAAACCTAGTCAGACTCTCTTAAAACTTCATTTTCGAATGTTACATTATGATTTGTTTAAGAGTTAAAACAATGTCCTAGTACTCATGACACCGAAGCTGATAACTTTCATAGAGAACCACTTTACACGCTCTTGATATCAATGTTGTATCCACATGACAGTTGAACAACTTCAATCCTTGCATTCCCGTAAATTCTGGCAATCAGAATAAATTCATTAGAAGATTCCACGCAGTCGATATGCATCATTGGTTTGGCATAAAAAGTATTCTACTCCCATCCAGGATGAATCGCGTCCACCAATTTGGCATAAATATTTCACATAATATTTCAATTTTTTGCCTTTGTAAAAACACTTTTGCCACGTTAAGATAGTAAATAGAAGTTCCTGAGCACGTAACTGTCTGAATTTCATTATGACAGAAACAGCACGGTGTATCCATTCATGTGTATAAAACTTTGCATGACGTTCACTTCATCGACTATTTCTGTCAAAAAGATAACCGTGATATCGAGTCTTTAGACTATTGGAAAATTCTACCAAGTTAACAGTTGATTACTTACTGGTCATAGTAGAACCTCACCTCACTAGTTACTAGCCGGTAATAAGCCCGATAAAGGGGGAAGGTTGGGCATAGGGCTAGCAACCCTACCTCGGAAAACCAATCTAACCGCTAAACAAACTTCAACGCACAAAGTAAATATACAAAATGAAATTAAACTTATTCCTCGCTGGAATCGGAGAGACGAAATGACACCGGTTGGTGAAAGCCTTCGGGAAGCCAATTAGCCGACATATCTTCTCTCGATGAAAGCAATAGTAAGAATGGGGACATGGAATGTCCGAACAATGTTTCAAGATGGCTGGCTGGCAAGGCTGCCCAGATTGCAAAAGAGATGAGAAGGTATAGCATAGAAATTCTAGGAATCTGCAGATCGAATCTAAGTGGACTCTCTAAACTATCAACCGGAGAGTCAATAATCTACTCCGATATTGTCACCCAGACGACAACTATAAGCACAATGAGTTTTCGAGTGGCTATCATGGTGTCCCAAGAGCATCGAAGGCTCTCATACAGTGGGAACCAATCTTCCCCACCATAAGGATCATGACAGCAAGGTTCAACTCAAAAGGAAGGGAAGTCACAATCATACAATGCCACGTTACGCACCTACAAATAATGCAGATGAAGAAAAGAAGGAGGAATTCCACAGACAACTGCAGTCAGTACTGGACAAGACCCCACCCCAGTTGGCGACGTCAAAATTCTAATGGGTGGGGCGACATGAATGCCAAACTGGGAGCAGACAATACAGGTGGAGAACAAATCTTGGGTCGAGAGGCACTCGGTGAAATGAACGAGAATGGAGGATTGTTTGCAGACTTCTGCGCACTCAACGATTTGGTGATTGGAGGCTTGGTAGTGTGTTCAAACTCAAGAATATCCACAAAGCAACATGAATTTCAAAGGATAGACACACAGAAATCAGATCGACTTCATTTTTAGTGTGAAGAAAGTGGAGACGCAGCCTACTGGACAAAAGATTAGATGAAGGAGGGGAGCAGATGTAGGTTCACACAACTCACTATCTAGTGCAAGGAACCTACCTTTAAAACCAAGTTGAAAGTCTTCACAGAAGTTGGTGATAGACCACAATTCAAGTTCAAGTTCAACAACCAGAACAGAAAATGAAGGTCGAAATTACAAAGGAAATCTTAACGTCAACCAGCCATCAGGGAAAAATGGAAGACATCTACCAACATTGCCGAGGAAACCTGTGTGGAAGAACACTGGGACTCTTTGAAAGAGATGTGGAAAGAAACGCGGATAACCGTGTTAGGAGGAAAGAAGAAGCAAGACGAGGAATGGATCTCCACAGACACATCGAAACTGATAGAGAAGGGAGAGGAAAGTGGTGAAGCAGAAGATGAAACAGTGCAAGGATGAACAACGAAAAGAGGAACTGAAAACAACCTATAAAACACTACACTGGAAAAAGAAGTGAAGAAGAGTGCGCACAAAGACAAAACACACTTCTACAACACACCGACAAGTGAAGCAGAACAGGCTGCAGGTAGGAGAGACAGAGAGACCTGACAATATTACATCAAATAACCAGGTTACTATCTGGGAAGAGATCAAAGCAGATGAAACCAATAAAAGATGAAGGAAATATAATTACCAAAGAAGAGAAACAACGAAACGATGGGCTGACCACTTCATAAAGCTCTTGAATCGACCACCACCTGCACTTCGTCCATAAATACCACCTGCAGCCACAGAACTACAAGTGAACACAAGCCCTCCGACAAAAGTCGAAGTCCTGGACGCCATAAAGCTACTGAAATGCGGGAAAGCAGCAGGACCAGATGGGATTCCTCCAGAAACAGTGGAAACAGGCGCAGAGACATCAGCAGCGGACATGCTCACACCACTACTGTAGAAGGTTTGGAAGGAAGGAAAGGTACCTGTCGATTGGAAGAAAGGCTACCTTGTCAAACTCCCAAACAAGGTAGACCTACATCTTTGCAAGAACAACGACTGGGGCGGAATCATGCTGCTGTCCATCCCAGGCAAAATAATATGCCACATTATCCTGGAGAGACTAAATGGTGTTCTGCATTCAAAATTACGACCGGAACGGGCTGACTGGCTTCAGAAAGAACAAATCATGTGTGGATCGAATTGCAACGCCACGCTACGAATCATTATACAACAGAGAATAGAATGACAGTCAACTCAACTCTACCTCAACTTCATCAATTTTGAACAGGCATTCGACAGCGTCGACCGAGAAGTATTTTGGCAGACAGTTGCTTCAACACTACAGTTTCAGTGCCGCAAACATTTATCATTTAACATTTATGAACATCATTCAACAGTGGCTATATGCTATATGATGATGTTACGCACCAAGTAATTGACAATGGAGACCTCTTTGAAGTGAAGACAGGAAGCAATAAGACAAAGTTGTCGCCTACTATCACCGATGATCTTCCTGATTGTGGTGGACTGGATCATGTAGGAAACCGTGAGGAGCATATGCTGGTTGGACCGACGAAAATGCCCAGAAGAAGATCTAGATTTCGCCGATGATCATTTATGTCTAATGTCTTGTCGCACAAACTGGAAGATCTACAGGTGAAAACCAACAAGTTGGCCGAAGAGGCAGGGCGGCGAAGGAGGACAGGACTTCCTTCAGGTGGATGTAGAGAAGACAGAGGTGATGAAGGTACCCAACCAACAACAAGCAGCAATCATCATCAACGGGAGAAACCTAAAGGAAGTAGTCTCTTTCACCTACCTAGGAAACATCGTTTCAACCACAGGTGGCACAGATGAGGATGTCAAAGTCAGGATCAGAAACACAACAAGACAGGCCATCCTTCATTAGTCTGAAATCGGTATGGAGATCTACTGCAGTCAGCATAAAGCGTGAACAAGATCCGGATTTTCAACACTAGTTCAGTCAAGTTAGTAAGTGATGCACTCGGTGTTTATATGCCTTGGTCAGTGTCTTTCTCTGTATTATGTATATGCACAGCTTTATTTAAAATCACACAGTCCAACCTGATGACAGCGTTTGAAAATTTATGAAAAATAAAACATCCAATTTCAAGTACAATGTATGAGAAGATGCAAAATAACTGATTTCTTTCAACAAGAGATTATTTCCTAATCATAAGTCATACAGAAATCGATGAGGAGTCAATCGAATGCTCTTGTACGGAGCTACTAATTAAGTCATAAATAAAATAACTTTTAAAATAAAGAAAATAATACGGTTAATGATATTTATCGGAGATTTAAATTTTCCACTTTTTGACTAATATTGCAGGGTGGATGTCGATTTTGAGTTGTAGTACATTATCTTTGCATTCCCGATATTCATATTTCGCCATCAATCTTTAATTTGTTTTCACAGTGATGAAATAATTGAGACTCTAGTTGGATTCACCTTGGTAAGTGAGACATACATATATGTACCTCAGTTTATACAGTTGCTCCTATAGTTAATTATCATTTTTCGTCTTACAGCTGTCCCCTCCGTATCTTAACTTACCTATATCAAACTGGGAGATGTAAGGCATGCTTCAGCGTGAGAAATGTAGTCTATAAAGTAATAAACACCGATGCTTTCAATGCATCCATCACATTTAGAGTCAGAAACTCGAAGTGGAAGCAGTCGATGTGACATTTTTTAAATAGTTCACACCGGAGAATTAAATATATCCAGAATAGTGCTGTTTCATGGAATAAATATATCACCTTATGAGTCATGTATTTTTTATCATAAATGTGAGATAGATGATCGGTTATCTCGCAAATCGATTAAATCAGCATCGTCGTCTTCGTATTTTCCATTAATCCTTTGGCTAGTACTTACTCAATTCTGAACAGTGAAGTAGAGATTTAGTGCAATGAATTAGGTGCTCAATTTCTAGCCAGCTCGAACCCTCCTCCTGCCTACCATGCTTTGTACAGTCAGTTAGTTTACTTATTCCTTACACACACACACTACGTGACCAAGTGCAGAAACCGTCGTGTAGTTGTTCGTGATCATAAGTGTTATGGCGCAAAGTTGATCACACTAATTTAGATGTTTTCAGTGTTACCATCTTCATTGAATTTTTCATTCTCCAATACTCTCTATAGAGATTAAACCATTGAGTGAAGAAAAAAATTTCTAAAATCGCTTTCTAACACTATTTTTGACTATCCATATAATTTCTAGCAGCTCTCGAATATATCAAACTATTATATCTTGACTACTGTTTTTGTTTGTTATTTTTTCAATGAATGAGGACTGGGATGACGAAATTACAATTCAGATGTAATATTCATCATGGACTGATATCATTTGGGGATCGAACTCAAGACCTTCAGGTTTCACGGCGAACGCGTTAACCATTCAGCCGCTTACTTCTGAGTAGTCCCATACTAGGACGAAATAGCTGTGCAGTGCTCCCACATTTAAACGGTTCTGTAAATGACATCAGTTCCTGATGAATACTACCTCCAAATTAAAAATCCCCGTTCACCTAAAAAATGCATTAGGAAATACAATTATCGTGATCAGAACGTAGTGAATAGTCTAGAATAGGTTTCGATTCGACTAAAAGGTACGACTGCGTTCTTCATGTATGGTCCACTCAGCTTCTTTGAGTTATGCGTAGCCCAAATTTATCTCAGTGATAACAAAACATGATTAGTGTGGTTTTATCTACAGTATTCAACAATAACTTGTTTGACATCATCATCACCTAGCATCAATGCAAGTCCGCCAAACCACAGCTATCTTATATAGTCACAAACTGATAATCGGTATAATGCTCCTCCTCTCTGATTCAAGTAGATATCGACTGTGATGCGAAGGCCAAACTGGGGAGCCGTTGTAAGAGTACGATCAAGCGATAAAAATGAGTCAAGAATTCTCTTGACAGTCGAGTAAAATCCTTAATGGTTGAAGTAAAATAAAAATCTGGCCAGCAGTCTAATCTTGTACGTCAGTGGTTCAAATCCTGTCACGGCCTAAATATCCATTTCACCTTCAGTTACCAACCAGTGTAAACATATTAATGAAAAATTGAAGGGTATTCCCAACAAAATAGACTCAAATATCTGTCTGCAGTAGTCAGATCAAATAACAGGAATGTCTCAAGTAGACAACCAAATCAAAGCCACAGCAATATTGGCCTCTTATACAACCTTGAGCAGAATAAAACAACAACATTAGTGTATGTAAAACAAAGCTTCGAACACAAAGCAAATCACAGCTAAATATACTGTATTACAAAAGATGAATATAAATATGGTTTCACTAAAATACGGAAACTGATATAAGTACTCCTGTGAGTTTCAACAACACTGACAGTAAGAATATAAACCAATAATGAACATGCTCAAAGAAAAAAATTAAACAGTAGGGATAAATATAACTACAGAGGACATGTGGGAGGGATTTTCTTATAATACACCGCTATATAGACTACTCTTCCTGATTGTGGTGGACTGGATCATGTAGGAAACCGTGAGGAGCATATGCTGGTTGGACCGACGAAAATGCCCCAGAAGAAGATCTAGATTTCGCCGATGATCATTTATGTCTAATGTCTTGTCGCACAAACTGGAAGATCTACAGGTGAAAACCAACAAGTTGGCCGAAGAGGCAGGGCGGCGAAGGAGGACAGGACTTCCTTCAGGTGGATGTAGAGAAGACAGAGGTGATGAAGGTACCCAACCAACAACAAGCAGCAATCATCATCAACGGGAGAAACCTAAAGGAAGTAGTCTCTTTCACCTACCTAGGAAACATCGTTTCAACCACAGGTGGCACAGATGAGGATGTCAAAGTCAGGATCAGAAACACAACAAGACAGGCCATCCTTCATTAGTCTGAAATCGGTATGGAGATCTACTGCAGTCAGCATGAAGCGTGAACAAGATCCGGATTTTCAACACTAGTTCAATCAAGTAGGTCAGTGCTTCTATGTAATGGTTGAGGGACTTGGAGCGTTACGATAAGGATTCCCAACAAACTACAGACATTCATCAACAGATGCCGCCTACACTCACTCAATACTGGAGATCAGATGGCCAGAATGATACGAATAAGCAATAAGGAACTCGGAGCGAACCAACCAAGAATCTGTCGCCCAACAAATATACAGAAGAAAGTGGAGATGCGTTTGGCATGCACTGAGAAGACCATTCGAGGGCATCACGTGCCAGGCCCTCGAGTGGAACCGATATGGGAAACGATTAGTTGGTAGTCCGACGGTGATATGGGGAGATGGTGTGAGGAAGAAATGAAAGCTTCTAGGCAGTCATGGAACCAGGTTGAAAAGACTGCAGAGGACAGAGTGAAGCGGAAATGTGCTATTAAATCCCTTTGTTCCACTAGGAACCCAAGGGATAAATAATAATATAATAGTGTGGACTACTGTTTCCGCTTTAGTAGCCATCTCAAATAATCCAGCCAACTGAATCACACATTGCAATTCTCTTCAGTTGTCACAGCCTATTTTGTATCGTCTACATCCACCCTTATACACTGATATACATACCTAAAACCACTTATAATCCATAGATTAGTATGCATTTTTTTTAATATACGCCGTTAACTCTCATACTGATCACTGGTTGGTTGCATAAATTAGCATATATATATATATCATGCATATCATGTAAATTGACCAAACTGTACTGAATATCCTTTCTTAAAAAATCAATTAAACTGTGGTTTAGTCACTCATCGATGTGTGTGTGTTTAGGTACATCATTTGTAGAATAATAGATGTTGTGGTCATTTGTTTTTACTGAATTAAAAGTAAAGAAGATTAATTGTCCACTGAAAGTTTCCAAGTGTCTACATGCACAGTTGAGCGCTAATCAAACATTATTCAAGTGTTTGATGTGTATCATCTAACCAATAATAGTTATATTCTAGGACAGTGTTTGCTCGTGAGTAGATGTTTCAAGATTTGTTCGAAAAAATATTTCTTTTCAAGGTGGTATTTATCATTTGGAGAACTATAGAAAACCTTGGAGCACTGAACAGCTGTTTCGTCTTAGTATGGGACTCCTCAGGAATAATCATCCATGAGTATCTCCATTGCACATGTTTGGTGTTGACTCGGTAAATATAGATTTGTATTAGAGTAAAACTTATTCATCGTGATAGGAGCCAGTAAATAATACTATTTGCTATGACCGTTAGTATGACGTAACAGCCTACGAGCCTAGCAGACTACAAACGATACGAACCTATCGCGCAGACAACTTGACTCTAATGCAAGTCAGAACGCCAGCTACTGTCACTTCAATACCGCCGATGCGCGAAGAGAAGACGAACCGTTAACAGAACCCATTTTACTGTCTCAACAATATTCAATACAATTATTGGCGATGCTGAATATAAACATTTCTTTCGATGCATACAATTTAAACACTTTCAAAGGAGCCCTAAGGAGATCTTTTGCCATTCATTATATAGTAGTTTGTAAAGAGTATAGCAAAAGTGAAAACCGATAGAGCAACAGATGAGTTGAGTCAGACTGAACCTAGTTACATTGTTTCTTCAAAATCATAGGAGAGGGCAGAAGTTCTAGTCTGACTTATATATTATTGAAAAATTAGTCATCACTATGACATGAAACAAAATAGACAACTAGCCTGTTTACTGTCCATATAAGAAAAATAAACCGACTAGCCATTAGTTCTCCATTTTTCAGAGTAAACGAAAATTTCTTGTACTCTTTACTGACTTTACTAGGCTGGGATTGACCTTGAAACGAAGCACCTTTCTAACGTTATTTCTATTTTGAACTAATGTTTGATTCCACTCTTCCTGATCGTAAACAAGATTCGGTGGGATTCTTTTTTCTCCTCAAGACTTGTTCCTGTTCAAAGTTAGATTGCCCGTGATTTTGTTGTTTGTGTGTGTTTTAATGTTTTGCCTGCCTTACTAATGTTAACTGTAGAAAAATATGTCAACAATGCAAACGATAAACATGAGTCAACTATCTGCTTGTTTGAAACAGGTAAATCACGGAGTTTTGACTCTGTAATTAGGTCAGTGAGTGTGACTTTAAAGGCCACCCTAGCAACAACTGAAATGACCAATCAGGCTTTGGTATTTAACCTGGATAAGTATTTTTCCACAAAGTAAAGGAATGTAATTGGTTGTCTCACCAGTTGCTAGGGTGGTCTTTAAAGTCGCCCAATTCACTATCCTAGCCGTTGTTAAGGTAGCAATTAGAGTTACCGGTCTGTGATGCCTGTGTATTTCTGCATATCCGTGATGTGAATAAACTCGAATTTATCTAAATCACATCTAGATTGGTTTGCACTTGTGTGTGTGTATGCTGCGTTCATGATGTACTTATATAGTGTCATAAGTTAAGTGATCCTGCTCACTTTAAATACTTGCATCATCCACGATATTCCAGTTAAATATGAGTTAACTGATACTTTTTATTATTATCCTATAGAGTGAGTGGCACGATCATCGGTCGAATACTTTAGTATTCATTTGAAACATTGTCGTTTCTTTGATGCTAGATGTTTACAGTTAGGCGAGAATCTCTTGATCCAACTCTCATGCTTTTCAGCAAGGCGTTCGGACAGTTTTCAAAAACCTCATATATACCCCATCCTTAGTTTACTCAAGAGGGTTTTACTCCGTTTCCCGGCTCACCTTCGAGTTCCAGACCGAACCTTGTCTGTTCAGGTGGCACTACCCTCAAAGCTTGGGGGATCGTTCCCCCCACCGAGCAGGAAACAGCCATAGCAATACATCCACACGAAAACGATTACTCCTACAAGACCACTTTGTTAACGCTCCCGCAAACTGACCACTGAATCCCAAGCCCCGACTATCGAGGTTTCAACGTAGTTATATTAACTGGGTCGTTGACTTTATTCGCCTCCCCGTTGACAGACGTGCATGAAATACGTCCAAGTCTTCATAATCTTTTAGAAAACGATGGACCTAGCCTTCCCAGAAGATGATTCTCCTCTCACGAACATTTTAGACAAGGTGGCTGCTCCTAGGCTACCTTTCATAGGCCAAGTCTACGGCGAAACGATACGCGGTATTCCGAACCGAATACTGCTCATCTTCTCAAGGCTGGCCACATCACCTCTCTTGGATTCCTTCAACAACAGTGACTATTGGAGTTAGGAGGCTGGATTCCCTTACCTTCTCGTTGCACTGCTCTCAGCCTGTTGGGCAGAATGTTGACGGTCAACTGGTCCGTTTGTACTTTAGAGACCCATCGCACTGAATTACGTACATAGATCTTGTCAACTGCCATTACCGCCAAGTCAACTTTGACGGTGTATTGGTTCAAACCCAGTAGGTTCAGGTAAAGGTTCATCATCGCTGCGTAACTGGGTTCGGTCAGTAATCATGAATATGCATATCGTCTCCAGTTTTTGTAACCAGCAGCTCAAACACCCACACCACTTAACCGTACCGTGTAGAGCTTCACGCTGACACGTAACTATAATGGGGTATTTGGCCACCCACGAGAGTCATGGCTACTCATCGTTAGGGTAATGGACTACCATCAAGCTATTCATTTCACACTTATTACTGTAATTAATACAAGGCTAATCACTGGCTAGTTATTCAGACACGCAAGTGTGAACAACTGAACTTTCTCATAGTGTTATTTACATTGACCGTCTATGATAAGGTGCTTTAAAAAGAATTATTATGGGGTTTAACTCTTGTCTCATACGGAGTCGGTCAGAGAATACTTCTGTATGTTTAGTATAATTAATAATCCTTTTTTCACATGGTTTTGACGTGTAGCATGTACACTGTAGTGAATGAAATACTGCTTGGTTCATTTATGCATTGCTAAATCAAGCAAAGGCTTTTCAATGTAGTTAAATCAGCAATCGATACATCAAGTTTATTTCATTAATCACTCTACGTTGCTTTTGTAGTTTTTTACCATATCATGACTAGTTGTCACTTATGCTTCTGAATATGTGATTCTACTTGTGTCAGAAAAAATAATATCTCACCGAAAGCATTCACTTCAAGGAATAGGGTGTGTAAATAAATGAAGCTGCAAAAACTAGAGTTTCTGATTTAGTATTTTCTGACCGCTGCATCTTCACCAGTTAAACGTAGAAAACGTCAGTTCATTTTATGATACGACAAAATAATTCGAGTTTGGATACACCACATTTTCTAAGATGTGCCAAGTAATACGGACCTTGGACGTGATTGATGTCGAATATACTTGCTCAGTTTTGCACACTTAACCCACCCACTCTTTTGGCCATGCAGTCCGACCCCCCCCCCCTCAACCGTTGTTGTCCGAATATTTTGGGTTATCTGATTCATCTGTGTATACAACTAAATTACCTGACCACAACGCGCAATAATGGATCTCACTTAGTATGCAGTTATTTCCTATCTATAATTCATGCATAAATGGGGGAGGGGTTAATGGAAAGCGCTTGGACCGAGGCTATACAATAATGTTGAATTCATAAGATGACTTATAAAGTAATATGACCGGTGACACTGATCTGAGATTTACGTACTCCACTTTTCGGCTGATATAACAGAAAGTAGTATGCTTATTCAACATTACATTCATCATCTGAGGTGGCTTGGACATGTGTTGAGAATGCGGAGCCACCGTCCACCTCAACATGCCATGTTAGGTGGATTTGGATTAGGTTAGAAGAGGGTTCAGGGTGGCCAGATCAAGACGCATGGCATCAGTTGATAAAGTCCCTGACTGTCGGTCTGAGCCCTGTAAGCATATGTAGAACACCCGGCTGGGTCCCCTAGACGATGGGAACCAGTGGCTGAGGACACTTGATAAAATGGCTAAAAATCGGTCACAATGGTCCAGATGTATTCGCTCTTAGACGTCTTTTAAAGCTTGAATGTTTTGACTGGCCTTACTTTTCAAATTTCATTGCTACGTGTACACCATCGTCTACTTTGATATCAGTGTTATTCCATCCACCTTTCTGCTGTGAAGTGTGACAACTTGAACCGATACACTTATATGCGAGGTTCTACGTTCTGCCTGTCTAGTGTTATTATTCACCAGAACGTTAAACTCTTTGTATTTCAAATAATTTTGGTGAATTCTTGATATTTCTATTATTTTTTTCTCATTCCACTAGAAATTACAAAATGAATTTGGGAAACCAGTTATCCTAATGCTTGGAATAATAGCACTGTTTAGCTTTCTAGTATTGATTAGTTTGATACTAGTGATAGGATTTTGGTTCGCTGGATCTTTTGAACACGATTATGAAGAGCGTGTCTCAATGACAACAATAGCACCTTATGAAGCTGATGATAACAACAAACCGAAGCTTGTTAAGAAATCAAAGAATGAATGATGCACAATTGTTTCTATTTTACCGTATTGGCAAAAGACTGCTGTATCACACACGTATTCCGTTAAACTGTGAATTCTTCCAACTAATCAAAACCTCACTCTTATAAAAATTCATATACACCGCGTAAAACGTTGACGAATTTTCTGTTGCCGCAAAATGGTCATGATTTTTAAATGCACATTTTGTCTGATGTTCAACACACATATAATTTTGCGAAACATAGTCATATCTTCTAGTTAAACAGGATTCGAAGGGTATCTGTAACACCTAAAAACACAGATTCTCTAATCGGAAAATGTAAGGATGGGACAACTGATACTCGATTTCACAAGCAAACAGCCTTCTGAATTAAAGACAACTGTATTTTGGTAGCTAACTTAACAGATCAGGGCTAATCAAACCTTTGAAGATGTCTCATCTATGTGAAAATAAATATTTATGATGATTGATTAAGTATGAGAGACGTTTCAACATATTTGTTTCAGTCAGTGCACAAGATTTGTAGTTCAGGATGAGGACAGTGTTCATCTCTAGATGTTTCATATAGGAGTAAAGTGCTGGTGAAGTCGCCTAGCCTGGTGATGAAATGTCCAAGGAAAAGGCTAAGAGAACATCAAACATTAGGATATTAACTTCATGTGCGTTATTCAAAATGCAAAGTATGAAGATAAACAACAGTGTTGAACACCATTGTGTCTTTAAACCCAGAAAAATGTCTTTTAGTATGGAATACTTACGATACAGAACTTATATCTCTGCTTTCCGCAGTATAAGGTTCATATTGTGATATCGTAAAATCTTACATATTCTGGCAAGTAATGGTACAGCTTTACGAATGTTTTCTGACTGAAAAGGTCGCATATTATCATTTCACAAAACAAGCTTCGATGACGCAGACACATGTAATAGGCTTCCGTCGACAGATATAGACAGCTTCATAAATGAACGAATCGATATGCAGTTAACTTTAGATGCTACAAGTTGTAATATCAGTAAAAATTTGACTGTGTGCGATAAAATGATGGCGAGCTAATGCACACTATATAATGTTCTCGCAACTTATGTTGTTCACTGCGAAGTGAAATCATAACATCCTCCTCTATATTGATCTGAAAACTGTTTGATGACCGCGTTGCACAGTAAGCTGACTCGATGATAGACTAGTCTGCATAAGAAATTATACAGAATTATTTTATGAGTTAAGGTGTGTCTGAAGCACTTAACGTTTTCGAGCTATTTATGATCCAGTTGGGAGCTGTATAATGTGATACACCGAAAACGTTAATAGATATGCGATAAAACTGGAAGTAACTGCAGAATAGGTATGGATTATCTAAAAGCCTTTAACGTCGACATAAAACCTTTTTTAGCCGCCTAACGTTTTTCGTAGTGTTACTGTGGAAGATAAAACTAGACTGAATTGGTGCTAACCCCGTTTTCGATCTGCATTTGATGGCTTCTGTAGCTGATGGGTAGAATGATGAGTCTGAAATTTATGGTGCGTTTATTGCTGCTCATACTGTACCGAGTCGTCAGTGCATATACTGCTTCAATTCAACTAGCCTGTTCAAAAACCAATTGTCCTGTGCCGAAAATTGATTGTCTCCATTATTCATACCAATTTTACCGTCAGAAAGTAGTTTTGCGTTTACACGTCATGATTTGCAGTGCAAGCCACCGTAATAATTGACTAAACTAAATCCACTTGCGGGGGAAAAACATGTTGACAAATCGTTAAGATACTGATTGTGATGGAATACCTATTTGGTGTTCTTGGAGCACTCAAGATTGATAATTTGAGAAATTGTGAACGATGTTGCTTAAAATTGGTCGCAGTGGTGCAGATATATTCACTGCTAGTTTTTTTCTGTATACAAAGTTTCCAAGTGACTTTCATTCATTTGTTTCTCCGTCTGTATTATTCTAGCGTCTTTCCAAATGTTTTTTTACCTGGTATACTTTTGTAAACTAAGACAACTGGATCCAACGCACCTCTGTGAAATACATAATTGTTTTGTTTCTTAACCTTAAAATCCACCAAAACATACTTGAAGTGTACTTCAGCCAGTTCCAGCAGTGACCCAGACAAATAACAATGATTCACTTCTCAATGAAACACATGCAACTGAATGGCGAAATAAGTTCCTGAAGTCTACTCATTTCTTTAGAAAAGTACCATTAAGAAACTGGCGATCAGATATAAAGAGATGTTGTGATCATACTTCACAAATGCACTACATTTACGCGACCACCCTCAACCAGGGGATGAAATGGTTTGTTCGTGAATAAAGTAAACAACCCTGCGACATATATGTGTGGAGAAAACATGACTTCAGTATTTCATTTAGTTAATTGTTAGTTTGTTTTTGTGAGTCAACTTCTCTAGTACATTCAAACCGCTCCCCATTGGTATACTATGGTCCTTCATAGCTGGACAATGGCATAAGAACAGAAATAAAATCCTGACTTCATGCAAAGTGGATAGTGAACAAACAGCGCGGTAGGACTTGGGCTCACCTTTATGATAACTCAAATAGACAATTGTATTCAAATTGCATAGAAGCTGATTGATTTTCAATGGATTTTTTTTGCCTTGAATAGATACTGTCCTTCAAAAAGTAGTGATTTTAAAGTGGAAACCTAGAAAATGCACATCAGTGTCCATTGATCTGGTGTCCAACAGCAACATGAAGTCGAATGACAGGTATTAATCACCCTAGATGGCCGCCTAAATGTCGCATAAACGACGAGTTCGTATTTCTAAACTACAATTCATCAGGAATCTTAAGGCTGCTGAACTAGAATGTAGAAGAAGCCTAGCCTTTGAAAACTACACAAGGCTAGTATACATCATGTATAATGCCACGTTAGGTCCAATAAACCCGTCCTAGGATCCTGGGAAATCTCAATTTTGGAATCTTATTATTCTTAAAGATTTCGAAAACTGAAAAGTTAAATAGATAGCTCCCAACTGTCTGTTACACGTTCATGCAGTCACAATTCAAGCAGAACAATTTGTACAAAAGTCACGTATGCAAAAATAAGCGATAGGATATTTGTAGATCACAATGTCATGGCTGTTACAGCCTGGATGGGATTTGCGGCTCAAGAAATACACTAAACCCGATCAATAATTTGTGATACATATTCACAGGAGTACAAGAGTACGCATATGCACACTTATGCAAATATTTGTGAAAAGTTCATTCGAAATCCAATCACTTCACGTTGAAAACACATCGGATTCTGTTTAGTAACTTATTAAAGTGACCTTCTTTTTTGTTTCTTCTAGTTTTCTCAATATATTGTCAGCTGGTAAACTAGTCTCAACGGTAACTGTATTATTTTGCACACTTGTTTCAACTTTTTTTACAGCATCTAAGAAATCTTAACAAGCCTAAAATATTTGACTTACCTCCAAGACTCATAAGAACCTTTTTGGCAGCCTGAGCACACCCCCCACAGCTCAGCTCCATGCTAAATGTATATGTCTTCAGGTGTGATCCGCCGACATCCATACCACAATCAAACTACCGCGCTTATTGCTTTAAAGTCCACTGGTAAGCATTAGTCTGTTATAACAAATAGTGCTGGGAGTTTGCCCTTAAGGTGTCTGAAAAAATTCAGCAAATGCACCGGAGATTTCTTGTGGAACTGCAGAGTTCCCTAAAGAACATGCGTACCCTGAATACTAACTTGTCATGCTGCACTACCATCCTACCTTTAAAATGACTAAGGGGTAGCTAGCTATTCAGTTGGAAATTTCACCTTCCATCTAACTGACTCTGTGAGAATTAGCTGGAAAAACTTAACGCTTGCTTAGTCACTGTCATCAGGTTTCCAGCGAACGACTGTATGTTAGGTCTAGCTGCAGCTTACGTTGCTACATCTTCAGTCTTGTATTTCTCATTCACTCACACTCCAGGGTTTTATCCAATGGAATGCGGATTCACTAGAACCATTAGATCCGAAAAGCAAGGTATGGCCAGCAAAATATCAATAAGATTATTTACTTCTGACTGTCTAATTTATTTCAGCCACATCATCGTTCCTCGTTTGTTAAATACCCTTTAGGATTTGTCCTGGTGCCAACTTGACAGACGCAAAGACCAATCACCAATTATTCGGACATGTTATATGCCCACGAATACGAGACCAAAGAAGAACACGATAGTTTAGTGGGATGGAATAGTATATTTGTATGGTTGTGCCAAAATACCGATGCGTTCCAATTAACTGGCTAGGGAGTCGAATACGAGCAGTGCAACGTAACACGACAGCGTGCCAAATGGCAAGGATGCTTGACCGGGTGCCTTCAGCTTAGCAAGTCCAGTTAAACTGTCAAGGTCAGCATCAATGTCGAAAGTCGTCAAACCCTAGGCTATTGATTTTGGGGAAGTGTGTGACGCTGCAACCCGTCCATGGACATGTCTAGTGATAGCGCCTTGTCCTACCTGGTGTTCAACCAAAAATACTTCACTCTCGCCTCGCTACAGTTATCGACCACTGGTTGCTCAGCAGTAACTTAAGCCCTGGCTAAGAGGTGCAAAATAGCTCGGAAAACCTTAGTTTGTCACCCCAGTGGCGCTTTATGGAACCATCGTGTTTAGCAGTGCCAAAAGTGGCCAGGTCTTTGACTCTCATAGAACCCCCTGGCCACCTCTATCGGCGATCGGCAGACCTTCCTGCAGTATCTAGGAGAAACCTTAGTAAACCTGCGAATCTCCTGAGGGCAAGCGGTAATGAGTCAGGAAGAAGCCCTCGACAGCTCCAGTGGTTTTCGTAATGACTGTAATAAATGTGGCCCCACTGCAGACAGAATTACCATAACTTTCGAGCTCAACTTTTTCAGTGTGCGGGTACGTTACTGAACCGATAAGGAACTGTTTTGTCTGACGGTCCAGATCGTTCTTCTTTGAGTCCCACCAGCATTTACCACTGGGACACTTTGTAAACTTCGAGTCTGTTTCCTGAATTTTGCGACTGCTTCCGAATATCGTTTTCATTCTAAGAATTTCTAGCACCCAGACACATCCAGCAAGAACATATGAACGGTATATATCGTTATATTACGAAACAGCTTCATGTTACTGCTCGTTTTGAGTATTCTAAAACTTAAGCCGCACTGCCTATGCTTTGGGTAATTTACGTCCACTTAAGAAAATTTATTAAGGCCAATTTCGCTACCGACACCTTCAAAGTGCTGAACCGTTCTTTTAGTA